TCACCTCATACCCGTCAGGATGGCTATTATCAATAAATAAGTGTTGGAAAGGATGTGGAGAAAACAGTCCTCATGCACTGTTGGTGGGAATGTAAACTGGTGCAACCACTATGGAAAACAGTATGGAGGTTCCTCAAAAAAACTAAAAATATAACTATCATATGACCCAGCAATTCCACTTCAGGGTATTTATCCGAAAAAACTGAAAACGGTAATCCAAAAAGATATATGCACCCCTATGTTCACTGTAGTATCACTTACAATAGCTAAGATGTGGAAGCAACCTAGGTATTCACTGATAGATGAATGGATAAAGATGTGTACATGTACACAATGGAATATTACTCAGTCATAAAAAAAGAATGAAATCTTGCCATCTGCAACAACATGGATGGACCTACAGAGAATTATGCTAAGTGAAATAAGTCAGAGAAAGACAAATAGTGAATGATTTCACTTATATGTGGAATCTAAAAGACAAAAACAAACGAAACAGAAACTAACTCACAGATACAGAGAACAAATTGATGGTTGCCAGATAGGAGTGGGGCTGGCAGGATGGGTGAAATAGGGGAAGGGATTAAGAAGTACAAATTGGCAGTTATAAAAACAGTCATGGGAATGTAAAGTACAGCACAGGGAGGGAATATAGTGAATAATATTGTAATAACTATGCATGGTGCCAGGTTGGTACTAGTCAGGGGGATCACTTCATAGGTTGTATAAATAGCTAATAACTATGTTGTACACCTGAAACTAATATATTGCATGTCAACAGTAACTGAAAAAACTTTTAAATTATTTTTTTAAAAATCTAACTACTAGAAACATTTTTTTACATACAAGTAGTTACTGAACATTCCACTAAATATGAATGTAAGTACTTAAAAGTATGGTGTGATGGAAAGAATGCTAGCAAAAGGAAGGAACAGATCAGAATATATGATAATTTTGTTTAAAAAATGGGGGAAATAATATGGTCATATTTATGCTTGTATATGCATAAAATGGCTCTAGAAGTTTAATAGCTGCTTATGGGGGGGAGAACTCCATGTTTGAGGGAAGAGTTATGAAGAAAACTTCACTGTATGTGCTTTAGTATCTTTTGAATTTGAAGCTGTGAATGTATTACCTATACAATAATTTAATTGAAAAAATGGGAGGCAGGGGAATTCTAAACAATACTCTGGAAACCAGGCTTCTAGTTTCAATCTGCACTAACTATGTTACCTTGGGCAACGAGACAAAGCAAGAAGAAGCAAAGATTTCTAGGTTCTTTCTAATTCTCAAACTGTATGATCTCAGTGGAGTGGGGACTAGTAAATATAGGGTACTAATTGTTTTTTAAACTATGTGAGAGGTACTAGTCCAACATTTTGCAAAATAACGTAATTTTTTGAGGACTTGATAGTTTACAGATACTATTTCTGTATTTTAAGAACTGTAGAACTGTCAAGCCTATTAAACTTCCAAAATCATTTACCGTATTTGCCGGCGTATAAGACGACTGGACGTATAAGACGACCCCCTAACATTTCCACTCAAAATACAGAGTTTGTTATATACTCGCCGTATAAGACTACCCCCTCTTCCGCACACCTTCCACACACCAAATAAAAGGTAAAACAATATCAGATTTGATTTGGCCCACTGAAGTGCAAACAAGCGTATTATATTTCGTGTCACCACATAACCGTTTTGGCGATGTTGAGCCACCATGTCTGCTACATGTTTTTCGAGTTCTGGCCAGTGTGGGGTGCCTCTTCTTAATGCACACTTACCCCTTGGCATACTCTTCAATGCTTTCTCATTTGATTTCCAGTCCCGAACCATCTTTTCTGTTACTCCATATTGTCTTGCAGCAGCACAATTATTATTTTCCTTAGCAAAGTTTATAACTTTCAGTTTAAAATTTGCATCATACTTCTTTCTTTTGGCTGGTTCCATGATAGGGATGATAGGGGTTTGACTGGTCGACATTTTCTATGCTGTACTGTACAATGGTGCAGTATTGTGGTTGGCTGTTGGCTGTATACAAAGCCTGATTTGATTGGTCCCTGCTCCCTGTTTGCCCGCCCTGTCACTATAGCAGTCTGGTCCACCCTTGCATCAGCATCTCCCTGGGACCTCACTAGTGCGCAAGTGCGAGCTCTTCAACAGTCTAACAGGCACCATTATAGCGCAAAATCGCGAATCTTCAATGCATATGTAAAGAAATATACGGTAACCCGAATTTTACAAAATTGGAAAAATCGCACACAGCCGAGCATACACTCAGCAGCGCTGCTGATGCCTGAACGGTATGTGGAATGAAGTGGGCGGGCATCGGGAGGCCACTATGGCACGGGGCAAGCACTATGGGCAGTCTATCTGAAGTGTACCTGGCGTATAAGACGACCCCCCACTTGGAGGCATATTTTTCAGGGCCAAAAAATCGTCTTATACGCCGGCAAATACGGTATACTATTTTTACATAAAAACCTTTCTTGGAAGGGTTCCTGTAATGTAACTTACAGGAGATACCTACAAAGAATACTCTTTTATTTCTCTGGCAACACTTCTAAAGTTGTTTTAAATAAACTTTAAGTCTTTATACTATGCCATAGAGTGAGCAATAAAGAACACTAAAACAACTTACATTTAAAATACATAAATGACTATACTTAAAACAAGAAACTTACACTACTTAAAGATGTTTATTATCAGACACCGAAAAAAAATAAAATAACATTTCCAATCAATGACAACTATAATTAATTACTTTATTCCAGGCATGGATTCCATGTACCATCTTTAATGCTACCATTCATCTGGTAAAGTAAGTTTCACTATCCTCATTTAACATAATAAATAACTGAGGCTTCCGGATGATAAATGACTAGTTGAGGCCAGTCTAAAAAGTGGAAGAGCTAGGGGACCACACTAAACCTTTGGATTTGAGCTCAGTGCACCACACAGGGGTTACTTAATGTTGGCTGGCATGCGGGTGCAGGTTTGCCAGAGTTTTTACTAATTTATATAAAAATGAGGAAAAATAAAGAGGAGAAAGTAAACTTTTTAATAAAACTAAATGATTTCATTTAAAAGTCCTTTACTCTGAGATTGTCCTTTAAAATTGAGCTAAAATATCTTTGTTTTAAATGAAATGATGGTGACAGTAGATAGCAGTGTGGGCTACTGTTGCTGTTTTTATTGGCTATACCTCCCAATTGGGGAAGAGGGGGGTGGAGAGGGGAATATAAGGATTTCTTTTGAAATTGAAATCCAAAAGTACTCCCTTAGACAGTGATGCCTCCCAAAATACTAGAGAACTTTCTCTCTCTCTCTCTCTCTCTCTCTCTCTCTCTCTAGGTTCCCTCATGAATCTACTTTATTCTATTTGGATAAGGACACTCACAAATGAAGAATAAATGAGTTTCAGCAATCCAAAGTCTGGTGAATTCACGCTGGATTCTGATATAGGATTTTCCGATTCTTTGCATCAGTTAACTTTCCTCACCCTTTATCTTCGACTCTACTCACTCAAACCTGACTCAAACTTTCTTTTCCTAAAATAACTTTTTTAACACTACTGCTAAATGGCAATCAATACTTAAGACAAATAAAAAGAACTACTTAAAGTCTCCAATGATCTGCTATTTAAAGCCTTTTTCACTTTGACAAAATAAAAACTTTTAATGATGTTTAATCTACCTATAGACTAGAAAACTAGTCTATAAATCAGACTCAAGCCACTTTAATTTCCAAATCTCTGTATCTCTTAAATATATGAAGTTTGTAAATAGTTACAAGACAAATAGTTAGAATGCTAGCTTGTTCATGTAATCACCAATATGTAGATCAAAATAAAACTAGTAAGCTTATACATTACTGTTTATCTAGCAATTTACAGATCAACAGGAGGGGAAGAATCTATTCAAAGGTGACTACTGTGAACAAATTCAAAATATTAGGCATAATGTCTCTATTAAAATTGCAACCTATCAATTTGAAATCATTTCACTTTTGCTGTTTTTAAATGAACCCTCATTAAAAAAAAAAGCTGCCGCTTTTAGGATGTAAATTTGTTTTTTTTAAGTAATCTGCCTAAGTAAATCTAATGCAGAAAATAAAATGTAACGATAAATTAACTACATTTTTAAAAACCTAATATCATCAGTAAAACAAACCAATCACTCCAGTTTAGCAATGCATGTACTTTTAATCTTCTGTGGAGGTCCCATTATACTAATCAACAACGTTTAAAAGTCACCCCACTGCCCAAAACATCATCTCTACACATGACATACTCATTATTTTACTCAAATTAAGCTTAGACTAGACCAAAACTCAGGCCATTTCTCTGTCCCAGGCACACTGAAATATACGAGGGGGAATCCAAGAAATCAGATATGTTAAATGCTGGTATCTTCTTCCAAGGTAGGGTCAAATTCGTGTTTGCCCGCAAATGTCACCGTCTCAAGAAGGTTGGAAATTCTTATTAGCGCTACAGAGTACAAAAAGGCCTGACAACGGAAACACCTGTCCTAGAACCGGGAAGGCAGTGGGAAATGCCACCCCGAGCCCACGCCGGCCGCAGCGATCCGAAACGAAGGGTGGACACCTACCTCACACACGCTTCCTCCCACAGGGTCTCACATCCCGACTTGCCTCCGGAGCTACAACCAGGAAATGTGTCCTGCCCGCCAGGACTCAGCCTGAGCGAACCTCCCGCTCCTCCCCCAGCCGGCCCGAATTCTGGTGTGCTCCGGCCTCCCGGCTACACTGCCACCTCATCCCTCCTCGCCGGTCTCATGGTCCCGCCACCTCCGCCCCAGCGGCCTGGTCTTGGGCGCCCCCCACCCACCCCCGGGCCGGAGCCCCCAGCCGCCGCCCGCGCGGGTCTCTCCGCGGCCCAGCACGCACTGACCCAGGCCTAGCTCCCGCCGCGCTCTCCCCGCCCCCAGCCTCCGCCCTCGTCCCGCTCGGCCGTTCCCGGCCCGCTCCCCCAGCCGGGATACCTGGAGGCAAGGGCGGCGGAGCACTTCACCCAGGGCCCCAAGTCGCAGAGGGCCCGGTGCTCAGGATCCCGCTCCTTCTCCCGCTCCACGTGGTAGGCGTAGATGGAGAGCAGGATCCCGGCGGCGCACACGGCATACCGGGCCACCCGCTCCCACCGCGGCACCGACACTCTCAGCAAGACGGGCGCCGCCATCTTTCCCCCTCCGCCGCCGCCTCCTTCGCCGCCGCCGCCTCCCTCGGCCTCCACCTCAGCCGCCGCCGCCGCCGCCCGTCGGGGC